CCAGAAAACTGGAAGTGGAACTGTGGTTTAGGGTGGTATATCATCACTAGCCTTGAGTGAAAGAGCTCAAGGAAGTGCCCAAGCCCTGAGTTCAAGCCCCATGATCAACAAAACAGTTGTTTATTACTATTCAAACTCCCAATCAGTAGATCTGAAGTCTTTTAAGTATTTTAGTATCCCATATGACATAAGCAGTTCTCAAATAGGGCAGTGTCAAGATATTTAACATTTCTTCTGCTCCTCTCCAGACTCTCTTCCAGCCCCAGACAGGTGCCTATCAGTCTCTGGCCAAAGAGTGCGTAGCCCAAGGCTGCTGTGTAGACCTCTTCCTCTTCCCTAACCAGTATGTGGATGTGGCTACACTCTCTGTTGTGCCCCAGCTCACTGGTGGCTCTGTCTACAAATATGCTTGCTTTCAGGTAAGGTATAGAATTCTGGGCAGCTGATGGCAGCAGGAATGGGAATGCATTTATACATGGAGTGGCTTTTAGTTACTCACTCGTAAATAAGAACTGTGTGGTGAAGTGTAAAATAAGTGAGCCCTGAAGGTGCGGAGTAAGGAGCATGGGCCTTAAAGTCCATCTGCTCCCTGCACTTACTGGTCTAGGATAAATGACTTGATTTCTCCCTCCTTTATTCTGTCATCTACAAAGTGGAAGTTTAATGCTTATTAATTAGACCTTGTCTATAAGTGCTTAAAAGTTATCCCAGTCATCATCAACATGATTATCATCTTCACTCTTACTACTATGACTATATAGGCTTGTGAAGTAGGAGGAGTGCAGGGAACTGGCTACGGCATAAGCTATGTGCTCAATAATGTTACTGTGGGCCTTGGGGGGGGCAGGTGGAAAACGACCAAGAACGATTTCTGAGTGACTTACGTCGTGATGTACAGAAGGTTGTTGGCTTTGATGCTGTTATGCGAGTCCGGACGAGCACTGGTCAGTCCTGGTTGGAGGAGCAGGTTGGGGGTTGGGAGGCAAGTGGCATCTGTCATAAATTTAGCCCGCACCCTGTCTCTTGTGGCCTCAGGTATCCGTGCTGTAGATTTCTTTGGAGCTTTCTACATGAGTAATACAACAGATGTGGAGCTAGCGGGGCTGGATGGCGACAAGACAGTGACAGTGGAGTTCAAGCATGATGATCGGCTCAATGAAGAGAGTGGAGCGCTCCTGCAGGTGTTACGCGGGAGGCACAGACTGGGGAGGAAGTGCTGGGTGATGTTCTCTGGGAAGAGGATGAGGAACATGTGGACTTGAGAAGGATGAGGTATGAATCCCTGCTTTCTCCCTTCTCCTAGTGTGCCCTGCTTTATACTAGCTGTGCAGGACAGCGTCGACTCCGCATCCACAACTTAGCCCTGAACTGCTGCACCCAGCTGGCTGATTTGTATCGAAACTGTGAGACTGACACACTCATCAACTACATGGCCAAGTTTGGTAAGGAAAGAGGTAAGGTAGGGTGGGATTGGGGCTGAGAGAAAGGTCCAAAATGGTGAGTGAATCAGCACTCCTGGGTAGGTGTGATCATGGGGATGGCACATGTACCAGGTGGTAGACCAGTGACTGCTATGTCCCTTCCCATTCAGCATACCGTGGTGTTCTGAATAGCCCTGTGAAGACTGTGCGTGACACTCTCATTACCCAGTGTGCACAGATCCTGGCCTGTTACAGAAAGAACTGTGCCAGCCCCTCCTCCGCAGGACAGGTAGGAAAAGCATGTTACTGCACAGATTGTTGGGACAGAGTTTTGCATTTGGAAGAGACTTATTCATTAAATTTTATTTTAATAAATCACTCAGCTGATCCTTCCTGAGTGCATGAAGCTACTCCCAGTTTACCTGAACTGTGTGTTGAAGAGTGATATCCTGCAGCCTGGAGCCGAGGTTACTACTGATGACCGGGCCTATGTCCGCCAGCTGGTTACTTCCATGGATGTGGCTGAGACCAATGTCTTCTTCTACCCTCGGCTCCTACCACTGGTGCGATTAAGGGTTGGAGTGGAGACTGAACTGAGAAAAGGGCCTCTGAGAAGGATGAAGAAGGGTTAACATCTGTATCTGACACTAAAGTGTTTTGTTTTTATTTTTATTTATTTTTTGTTGGTTGTGGGACTTGAACTCTGGGCCAGGGCACTGTTCCTCAGTTCTGCAGCTCAAAGCAAGCACTCTTCACTTGAGCCACAGTGCCACTTCTAGTTTTCTGGTGGTTAATTGGAGATAAGAGTCTCACAGACTTTGCTGCTGGGCTGGCTTTGAACTGTGATCCTCTTCTCTCAGCCTCCTGAGTAGCTAGGATTACAGGCATGAGCCACCAGTACTTGGCCTGTTTTGTTTATAAATATTATTAAGGTGGTGTTACCATTTCATGTCAAGTAAACAGTACATTTCTTTTTTGGACAATGTCACCTCTTCCTTTGAATTCCCCTAGTTTCCCCCTCTTGTCCCTAAGTCACATAGTTCATTTTCCACATAGTACAAACCAATACCATGATTGCATTTGTTTACTTTTCTTCCCTCCCCTTCTTTCTTGCTCTCTCTCTACCTTTATTGTTGTTGGGTGTGTGGCTTGAACTCAGTCCTTGAGCTCTTTTACTCAAATCTGCCACTTTGAGCCACAGCTCCACTTCCAGTTTTGTGGTGGTTAATTGGAAATAGGAGTCTCATGAACTTCCCTGCGTGGGCTGGCTTTGACTGCAATCCCAGATCTCAGCCTCCTGAGTAGCTAGGATTATAGGCGTGAGCCACCAGGGCCTGGCTTCTCCCTCCCTTTCTGTATCACCCTCAACTCCCCCTAAAAAGAAACAATAACAAAAAAAAAACCCAAAAGCAAAAAAACCACTACCAACAAGAACATAAAAGAATTTTTTTTATATACATTTTACACTGACAGTTACTGAGACCCCAGAAAGGGTAGTGTCTAGGGACTTGGCTTTCTGATTGGGGCTTGGCAGTTGTATCTTCTGGTCCTTGTTGACATTTGCCCCCTTGTTTTGGTCTAGACAAAGTCTCCTATTGAGAATACCACTGAACCCCCAGCAGTTCGAGCATCTGAAGAACGTTTAAGCAATGGTGACATATATTTGCTGGAGAATGGACTCAACCTCTTCCTCTGGGTGGGAGCAAGTGTTCAACAGGGTGTTGTCCAGAGCCTTTTCAACGTCTCCTCCTTCAGTCAGATCACCAGTGGCTTGGTAAGGGAAGGGAGTCAAGGAGAATATGGGTGTGAAAGTATGCTTTGTGATGGGAGTCAATAAAATTAGTGTACTGATCCCTTTATATATTAGGGGACAATTGGGAAGTGTGGAGAAGGGGTGCTGTCATTCTTTTCAAGCTTGTTTCAGATGATGCATGAATCTGTTCTGCCTCTATTGAACTCAGAGTAGTTTATTATAAGGATGAATGAATTTTATGTTTCAGAGTGTTCTGCCAATTCTGGACAATCCACTGTCAAATAAGGTTCGAGGCCTCATTGATAGCTTAAGAGCACAGAGATCGCGGTACATGAAGGTAACACTGATCTGAACCCTAGACTTCTTGCCTTGTCAAGTCCTCCCCTGGAAGGGGGTGGGGAGTGAACTGAATGACTGGGTCATGGGGTTTCTGCTTCATTTCCTTTGGTCCTGCCTCATAACTACATTCTGGCCATAGTTGATCGTGGTGAAACAAGAAGACAAGCTGGAGATGCTGTTCAAACACTTCCTGGTGGAAGACAAGAGCCTGAGTGGGGGAGCATCTTATGTGGACTTTCTCTGTCATATGCACAAGGAAATTCGGCAGCTACTGAGCTAAAGCAAGTGGGTAAATAATGTAGGGTCCCAGGCCAGCTTCCAGAAAGTACCCCGGGATGGCAGAGGATTGGGATAGTTCCATATCTGATAAGTCATGTATGCTGACCTCAGTCTCTGTGGAGGGAGGGGGGGATATAAGGAGACACCTTTCTGGGCTCAAGTATGCTACCATTCTGTCATGTCCTGCTGATGGAAGGTGTCCCTGACTTCTCACTCTGCCCTCCTTTTCCTGCTAATCCTGTTGTAATGAATGTAGTTTCTCAGTTCACTGTATATGATTCAGTGTTGGGGGTTTGGAGGCACCCTGATACTGGCAATATTGTGTCCCTTTGGACCAGCCTCCAAGAGGAGGGGGCACAGGAAAGAGTGGGGGGGTTCCAGGGGTTACTACAGGAGGTGGTGAATTTAGCTCAACAACTTCCTATATTAGGGATAAAACATACAGGTGCACAAGAGCTGGGAACAGACTCTGATGTAGAGAAATAATGTTGGTCCTTTGTGGGCCTGGAGGTCAGCAGCCAAGCAGTTAGTGAGGGTGGCTGATAAGTTTTCTCTTGCTGCTTCCGCTGTGTGCACTCTCTTCCTTGCAATGATTGGAGATCACTCTGTGAAGAGAAGTACCTTGTCAGAGAAGAATGAGCCTGGGAACTGAATTGCAAAGTATACTAATACCCCGGAGAGATGCCAGCCCCATCTTGAGCTGGAGAAGCCCCAACACTGTATGGTTCTGTAGGGAGCCTGATCATCAACTTGCAATACCTCACAGAGCCAATTCACATCCCACTCAGCTCCCACTGGAAACATTGCTTCATCAAGTCGGGGGTTGGAGAGACAGATCGCTGGAGCCCTGTCCTCTTGTGCTGGGACACCACTTGGGCTTTGGTATTGATTGGGGGGCTGACAGTTTTCTTCCATCCCCAATTGGCTGGGGCAGGACAAGGGCTAGGACTGTTGGCCAGGCTTGCCTGCTCCCAGCCTAGGATGCTCCTGCTCTAGACCTCTCATTTCTCCTCATTGGTTTATTTTTCAATGCATCTTTAATTTGTAAAGAAATAAAATAAGATGTAACCAGTAGCCTTATCTTTACTGCGACGTCTTCTTAGTTCACCTTGGTTCAACTTTTCTGACTGCCACTCCGAGAATGTGGCGCATGCGTCCCGTTCCCACGTGGTAGGCCGCCGCGGGGCGGGGTCTCTTGCTGCCCGAGTAGCCCCGGTTGCAGCATTGGACATGGCGGCTGGTTGTGCCAGGGCCTTGGTGGCCGCCCTGGGGTTGCTTAGTGTCTGTGCAGCTAGTGGCTCTGGGTCCATGGTGCAGGAGGAGGCCGGTGAGGAGTCGGAGTGGGCGGAGCCATGGGATGGCGCGGTTTTCCGGCCGCCCTCAGCGCTGGGCGCAGTGGGGGTGGCGCAGAGCCCTGGGACCCCGAGGCCAGGGAGGGAGCAGATGGTGGACCTGCCCGTGCTTCTGTGGTGGAGCCCCGGGCTGTTTCCCCACTTTCCGGGCGATTCGGAGCGGATCGAGTGCGCACGCGGGGCGTGCGTGGCGTCCCGGGACCGTCGTGTGCGGGGGCACCCGCAGGCCCGCGCGCTGCTTTTCTACGGCACCGACTTCCGTGCGTCCGAGGCGCCGCTGCCACGCCTGGCCCACCAGAGTTGGGCACTCCTGCACGAGGAGTCGCCCCTCAACAACTTCTTGCTGAGCCACGGCCCAGGCATCCGTCTTTTCAATATTACCGCCACCTTCAGCCGCCACTCA